TTGTCGGGGTAAAAATATGCACACAATTGAAAGGCAATTACAATTATGTCTAAATAAAATTAACAAGTGGTGTCTAGAAAACGGGTTTAAATTTTCCAAATCAAAAACTAATTGTATACATTTCTGCCAAAAATATAAACCGCATAAGGACCCTGAACTATAGCTATTTCTGAATGGCACCCCTATCAAAGTTGTTAAGGAGGCCAAGTTCTTGGGACTTATTTTTGATAACCACTTAACTTTTCTCCCACATATTGAATACCTTAAAGCTAAATGCCTGAAGGCACTCGATCTATTGAAAGTTGTTTCTAATTCCAAGTGGGGAGGGGATCAAACAACCCTCTTACACTTGTACAGGTCACTGATCCGTTCAAAACTTGATTATGGCTCCATCGCCTATGGTGGAGCCTGTAAAAGTAATTTTTAAAAACTTGATACGATACATCATCAGGGCCTGAGGTTTTGCCTTGGTGCCTTCAGGACGTCTCCAATTCACAGTCTGTATGTAGAAGCGGATGAACCTTCTCTTAAACAACGCCGTCTAAAATTATCTTTACAATATGTCACTAAATTATATTCTAATCAGTCCAATCCAGCTTTTAATTGCGTCTTTAATCCTCTTTACCAAGATAGTTACAATAAAAAGTCATCTCTTGTTCCACCACTCGGAATCAGAATCCAGTCTGCCATGTTTGCTTCCAATATTAAACTGCAAGATATAGCTCCCACTCAACTGTTTTCAACACCTCCTTGGCAAATGGTACGGCCAGAGGTAGACCTTACATTAACAAAATTAAAGAAATCTGATACTAACCAATTAATTTACCAACAAGAATACCATCAACTAAGAAACACTTACGACACTTATAAATCTATATTTACAGATGGATCCAAGGATGGTGCCACTGTCATTGGATCCAGAACAATCTCTTCACGTTTACCTGATAACAGTTCAATATTCACTGCAGAAGCAAACGCCATTTTTACAGCACTTAGATATATCAGTAATCAATGTAAACATAAACAATTCATACTGTTTTCAGATTCTCTTTCATGCCTTCAGGCAATTAAAAATATGTCTTCACAACATCCACTTTTAATCGAAATTCTTGAGTTATTTAATGATCTTGCTACTGGCCAATATGACGTCGTCTTTTGTTGGTTACCAAGCCATGTTGGTATCAAAGGTAACACAATGGCCGATGCTGCTGCAAAAGCAGCGCTCAACAAATCTGTGACACCACTTCTGATCCCATACACTGATTTTAAACCCATGATTCGTTCTTACATCCGAGATCTTATGCAACAGAAGTGGGACGCCCAAGTAGGTATCAATAAATTACATGAAATTAAACCAAATATCGGATATACCTTCTTGGGCTGTCAGTCCAGATTTGAAGAGGTCATTATGCGACGATGTCGTATTGGCCACAGCAGATATACTCATGAATATTTACTAAAACGTGAGGATCCTCCGTTTTGTATCCCTTGTGATGAAAGAATCACAGTCAAGCATGTCCCCCTAAGATGGTATGTAAGTCCCATATCATTCGAAGTATTTTTCTGCACACTAGGCTTTTAAACGTAGTATCTTCGTTATTTTAATCTAAGGCTTAACTGGTACACTGCCGGCAGTGACTGAAGGGATGATATAAATCCTGCCGGGGTCCATGCAGGAAGCAAAAGTACTGTAAGTCCCCATGGTCCCCAGTATGGTGATCTCCCTTCAGTTGCTGACGATTTCTAGCCCATTTTTATATTGTGGTGTTCATTAATGCTTACTGCCTTTTAATATTCTCAACTAGTTTTAAATCAAGTCTGTGATATTCTAGTTATTCTACTGTCCTTCGTTGACAGCTTTTTATTCAGTTTAAATATATGTATCATAAATGTATCATAAATGTATCATAAATGTAACTTCTCGTCACGATATGGCTGAAATATTGCCCATGTGACGTTAAAAAATAACTCACTCACTCTTAGGAAAATGTGCGTCAGAAAAAAAAACCTCGGCATCCAGAGGGTTAACCCCCATACAGAATACCTTAAAGCCAAATTCCTGAAAGCGCATGAATCATTAAAAGTCGTGTCAAGTTCAAAGAAAGGGGGTGATAAAAAAATCCCCCTACAACTATATAGAGCTCTCATACATTCAAAACTTGATTACGTTTAGAGAGGATCATGGAGAAGTGACCCCAACATACTGAAGACTGTTCCTCATCTGCCTTGCTGTAAAAGGCGACAATGCTTGTAGGAGGCGACTAACGGCATCGGGTGGTCAGGCTCGCTGACTTGGTTGATGCATGTCATCGATCCCAATTGCGTGGATCGATGCTCATGATGTCAATCACTGGTTTGTCTGGTCCAGACTCGATTATTTACAGACCGCCGCCATATAGCTGGAAAATTACTGAGTGCGGCGTTAAACAACAAACCAAACCAAACCAAACCAAACCACATCTGCCTTGGATCCTTCAGAACATCTCCCATTAACAGTTAATACGTGGAGGCTGACGAGCCATCACTAAAACTACGACGTATTTAAACTTTTCAAACTATACATTTATATACCGCAGGTATCCAGGTACTAGTATCTGCTCAAATGCGGTTTTATTTGTTCCCCGACCAGTGGATCTGTTTGCATTCCAGTTATCATTCTCAACTCCCTGGGGAGTATACGTATGACATTATCTTTACATTATATTACCACATTTTCTTGAAATCAATCTTATCCTGTCTACAACAGCGTTTTAATCCCTTTTATGGGGAACGTTACCAAAACGAATCTTCTCTTATTTACCCTCTTGGAATAAGGATAAAACTAATATTTCTGTTGCAAATATAAACCTTGAAAATATTTCTCTTTTCCGCCTTTTGTATTCACCTTCTTGGCAACTGGTAAAGCAAGAGGTAGACCTGACAAAACTAAAGAAAACAGATGTCAAACTAATATATCAACAGGAATATAATCAACTGAGAAATAAATATGATACATACAAACTATATTACAGATGGATCCAAGGGGGGTGACGCAGTTGCTAGCGCTACCATCATTGAATCCAGAACCACATCGTCCAGATATCCAGATGATACTAGTAGTTCAATTTACTCTGCACAATCAAATGCCATTTTCACAGCTCTCAGATACATCAATCATCAATCTTAGCATAAGCTGTTATAATAATATAATAATATTTTCAGACTTTTTCGTGTCTTCAGGCTATCAAAACTATGACGTGTCTGCATTGTTCAAGTGCATAATCATCAAGCTACTGGCCAATACGACATCGTTTTTCTGTTGGTTACCCAGCCAGGTTGGAATCATTGGTAACACAACGGCCGATACTGCTGCAAAGGCAGCACTCAACAAATCTGTGCGCCACTTCTGGTCCAATACATCGTTTATAACCCTGCTATTAGATGTTACATCCGGTGGGTATCAATAAAATACCCCAAATTAAACCAACAATCTGTTACTCCTAGTCAGTCCAGGTTTGAAGAGGCCATACAGATATGCACATACTGCAGACATTATGGGCAGTGCTAGACCAGGATTAACATTGAGTTGAAGTATTTAGTGAAACTTTATTTACTGCCATAAAATAGTAAAAAAAGGAATTTGCCAGAAGCCAAATCTCAATATGTGTCCGTTAACTTCTGCTAAATCTGCTTCCCAAGGCATATCAAAGGAAGTATTTGAAGCTATAGAAGCTAGCAAGTTTGGTTTAAATATTGCACCATACCGATTAATCCCAACAAAATATCAATTCATCCTTTTCTAGCAATGTAAATTCTAGGAAGTAATTAAAACATATTTTTGAAATATTAATACAATTTAGATAGGGACAAACTATTTGATATTCTGAAGGGATGGGCGTTTATGGTTTTGAAACAAAATGATGGATGTTTACAAGATAATTTCGGAGTAAATAATGACATGTTGAAGCAGGGACTGAAAAACATATTGTAGACAAAACGAAAATCTCAGGCACGGTCTAAATAAAAGATAAAATGTTTTCATATCAGTCCCGATTCACTTTGCACTTCCTTGACAGGCGTGGTCGTGTCTTGAGGCGACGTCGAAAAAATAGAACAAGGTGAGGATCCTCAATTTTATATCCCTTGTGATGAGAGAATCACAGTCAAGCATCCCATCACGATGGATAATTATTTCAAAGCATCGTCGTTAATGGATCTTTTAGAAATGCAAACAACCACTTAATCGTTGTTGTTTTTAAAAGCAATTGAATTGATTTACCCATTTCAACTAATATGCTTTATACACTTAAAATGACTTTTTAATGGGTAGAATAAATTAAAAGCTAAGATTGTTAGTGGCTGTATTCTCAAAGGGGGGTGAAGTATCGTAAAACAACTGTCCCCTTGAGAGGGTACGTCAGACAACATCATTCAAAGTACTTTGTTTTGGCTACCACGTTCTTAATCGTAGTATATTTATATCCCTTAATTGTGGGGTGTAGTCAGCAGCTAAAGACGAAATGTAAATTTTGCGAGGGAACCATGCAGGAAGCAGATGTGTGTAATTCCCCATGGTCCTAGTTAGGTGGTCTACTCTTGGTTGATGGCTTTCTATAGTCTATAGCCTGAGTTGTATATAGTGTCGTACTGGTATTATGTTCCAGCTTGTTTTTAACCCAAATCGGTGATACATTACAAGTAATTATACTGCCCCTTGATTGTTGGCTTTTAGAATACAACTGCATTACCTTGTCTTGTAACAATATGGCTGAAATTGTGCCGATGTGACTTAAATATTAAATCACTCACTCATGTCTGAATAAAAATATTTCTTCATTGTTATCATGTAATTTTGTGACCGTTGAGTATGGAAGACTGGGCCACCCGTGCCCCCGGAAACTGGGCCACCCGTGTCCCCGAAGGCTGGACCACCCGTGCCCCGAAAGACTGGGCCACCCGCTTAAATCACCAAAGGAAGCCTTGATCAAGTCTAGGCTAGAAGCAGTCGGCCAGGTAGAGGTTACCTTTTCACCCGAGTCAGTGTTTACATACCGTATCAAAAAGATAGAATCCCATTACAAGTGGTCTCTACCGTCGACAGCATTGTTCTCATCGAGCAACTAGAATGTCACCCACGGAAGTAGAATTCCACATAATGTGTACACGTTCCAGTGAACGCGATTAACAGCCTCAAATTGACACGTATATTGGATTACACCTTTACCTCTTTCACTCGAACGACGCACGCAGAGTGACAGCGGAGAAATGCGGCTGTGAGAGGTAAGAAAACTGTTTGTGCACTCGTTTGCTTTTGAACGTAGGACTGAACACTACGGAGGTCTAGAAAAGCCATTAAAATATGGTTATCATGTTTTGGTTTGGTTTGTTGTTTAACGCCGCACTCAGCAATATTCCAGCTATATGACGGCAGTCTGTGAATAATCGAGTCTGAACATCATGAGCATCGATCCATACAATTGGGATAGATGACATGCATCAACCAAATCAGCGAGCCTGACCACCCGATCCCGTAAGTCGCCTTTTACGACAAGCATAGTTATTATGAAAGTCATAACAAGACGGACCCGTGAAGATCCGGGGTAGAATAGGTCTTCAGCAACCAATGCTTGCCGTAAAAGGCGACTATGCTTGTCGTAAAAGGCGACTAACGGGATCGGGTGGTCAGGCTCGCTGACTTGGTTGATGCATGTCATCGATCCCAATTGCGTAGATCGATGCTCATGATGTCAATCACTGGATTGTCTGGTCCAGACTCGATTATTTACAGACCGCCGTCATATAGCTGGAATATTGCTGAGTGCGGCGTTAAACAACAAACCAACCAACCAACCATAACAAGACGAAGTTAACAAGACGAATTGTTTACGTGCTAAGTTGACTTTTAAGATATGCATGTTCATGAAACGTTGTTGAAGATTTATTGGACATATTTTCTTGAAAAATTAAAATATTATCTGGAAAAGTATTCTTATTGTGTTGAACGAATTTTGGATTGGCCCTTACAGTCTCTATTAAATTGCTTTAACCAAAAGACGTTAAAAGATGGTACTTGTTGTTACCCTGTCTGGCGCTCTGCATTAAGGGGCTAAAACAAGGACTGGTCGGCTCGGAGTCAGTATACTGTGTCTGAGTGGGGTATTCATGTTAAACTGTGGCATGGCATGGTATCTCAGTGGGCTTGCACTATAAATCGGCATCATTCCGGACAAGTACAAGCAGCCACACACACACACACACACACACACACACACACACACACACACACGTGCATTCACGTTGCTATATAAGTGCAATAATCTCGGCTCCGACGTTAAACCCAATTTTATCTCACCTCACCTCAACCAGTCTTGGCGGATTTGACTCCGACTCCGGATAATGATATATACTTTCTAAAAAGGTAGTGGATATTCGAAGATAACAGATGGTAACAGAAATACGATGAGATATTCGATGTAGATGTTGATGATCTGATGCAACAGCAATTGACAACACAAGGCTATATAAGTGTAATAATCTTGAACGCGACGTTAACCCATTTCACCTCACCTCACTACCTCTTCTCAGTAGTTGGTGAGACACGATTGCAACAACAATCCTTTCCCTTAAGGAGGGGGATGGGGGTGTCAAAGTGGTTACAGCATAACACCACTACCACAGGCTAATTTGCATATCACGTGACCAAACTGTTCTCTAGTCGTCCGGTCAGTAACTTGGACTACGATGGCCCGGTGGAAGTGAGCAGTAATTGGTTGTTTGGGCTCGATTTCTTATCTGGTTCAAAGGCTGGTTTGTGATTAATGGATCATGGACATGGGTTGTTGACCAAGGGCGCACTATGCGGGGCCGATCTTTAACATTTTGTGTCTGCAGAAACCTATTCCAAAGTCTGCAAATCACAGACTGGGACACATTGAACAGCAACTTGGGTTGTTGACCAAGGGCGCCCTGTGCGGGGCCGATCTTTAACAGTTTGTGTCTGCAGAAACCTGTTCCAAAGTCTGCAAATCACAGACTGGGACACATTGAACAGTAACCTGAACTTCGGGCAAGTGGACAACGATTTGTTGGATGTTTGGGCTTAATTTCTGTCTTCATGGTTAACGTCCAAGACCTACATCACTTTCACATAACTTGGATTTCCTTCCACACAAACTGACACTCGTAATATGCCTGGAATATTGTTCTAAGTGGCGTTAAACCCCACTAGCTCACTCACAATATTAGTAATAAATGGATTCGTAATATAATACGGGCCAGAACTGGGGGCGATCTGCGTTTGATTGAATATTATAATAGATTCAGTCGTGTTGCATGATTTGAATATCTCTTTTTCAATGCTCTTTCTAACACCGACAGGGGCCTTTTGTGCACTTATTCAAAAACATCGGATAAAAGATTTTAATCAGCATAACCGACTGAAAACATTGTGTAGGAGTGCCGTTATGAATAATGTTTGTGTGTGCAGTGAAATAGTCATTGGGGATGGTCTCATTTGCACAAAGCGGTCTTAGCGTTACGTCACCCCGAGACTCTACCAAAGACATACGAGACTCGAAAAGCTACCATCGTTTTTGTGCAAGTAGTTATTGAAAGTTTTATTTGTGTTCGAAACGTTCACTCTGCTCTTATAACAGGGGAAACGCGGGTGGCCCAGTCGTCTAAGGCGCCGCAATACGATGTACATAGTTGCGTCCCTTGGGCACACCAGAAACCTATGATCCCAGTTCACCCCGATTATGTTTCTAGGTTTGTCAGCACCATGCTCGGGGATTTCACCGAAGTGGTAAACGTCCGAGACCTGCACCACCTCAGGCTTTTCGCCAACATTAAGATGACATGCCGTGATATAACTGGAATGCAGTTTAAAGCCGTAGAAAACAACTCACTCACTCTCACTCACTCACTCACTCACTCACCCACCCACCCACCCACCAACTCACTCACTCACTCACGTACTACTGGATACTATACTTCTACTGGAGGGCCTATTTTGACAGCCGACACCCTATATAGATGAATGTAAAAGTCCAAGCATATTCGAACCAATGTTATCCTTCGGATGACAATGTCTCACACACGAGTGAAGCTCGAGGGATTGTTTGATAACAAAGCGATATCCAATATCGGGTCTTTATGACACAGTTCTATTATAGGCGATAGGCCACGGTTCAGTGAACATGACGCTTCCTCAACCGGAACGTGTCGAGGCATATTTAGCTCGGGCGGTGTGAACACGCGATGGAAATACAACAGTGAAGAATCCCGTATATTTAGTAACATCGCGAAATACATCGAAACATCACGCAGTTGGCGATACCTCTGGCAGTAGGTATGTTACCTTATTACTGAGTTGATCTATTATCTGTCACATGTTCTAATTTCTGAATTCCTTGCTGTGGTAGTCACCGTCGCGGGGTCGTGCGTTGTAACTATTTGTCCACAGATGGCGTTCCCCGTCGGTGTTGTTGCTACCTGGTTGACTGTGCCAAGGTTGTTCATGTTGCCATGTCTCCTTTTGAGTGTTTTTTTAGTGCATGTATAGACACTGTGGTTATAGTGCTGAGTGTCAGTATGAGTTTTAGGGGACAGAATACAGTATTTGAGAAAGACCCACCCCCACCTCTCTATCTCTCTATCTATCTATCTCTCACTCTATCTATATCAACCTCTACCTCTCTCTCTCACTCCCTCTCTCTCTCTCTCTCGCTCTCTCTCTCTCTCTCTCTCTCTCTCTCTCTCTCTCTCTGATGTCTCTTATCGATGATGTGTTGTCAAGGGTGATGGCGTGTCAACGTCCATCACACAATACCTATAGTTTAAGATCGATACGTCTCTAATGGTGACATGAGTTATTCAGTGCCAGAATTTCTAAAAGGTTGACGTCACATCTGGGGATGTTAAATTCACAAGCACTAATAAATATACATACTGAGCACACAGTACATGGCCAAGAGACAGCTGCAGTGATCGATGTTGTTTATAACGATCAATACTTCCGACTTCGCGTGAGAGTAGGTATTGAGGCCAGGAAAGGGACGCGCAATGCAGTGTTCGGAGTTTCAACGTAGGCATGACAACTGGCAATACATACGTGCGTATTCTGTATACAGTTATGATATTATCGTCAAAGATCTAGTATTTCAAATACATTGCCAAAGATATGTGTCTGCAAGGTAAGAATAGTATATATACAAGGTTAATTTTCACAGTAATGCACCTTTGATACTTTTTCCAATGTGTAGATTTTTAGAACTAGTCGGTACACAAATTCACCCGAACTAGCGGTTGAAACCAACAAGGGTGTAGCCCCGAGTCATTTTTCCAGTTTCCAAGGCAGTGGTTAATCATGGACGCTTCAGTGAATTCTACATGTGATCGATATTACTATACATGTAAGAAGAACTCCTTTCATGTCGTGTGTATGTATTTTTGCTTTGCCAAAATAACGGCATGATATAAAAGATATCTATACCGATATCATTTTAATCTTCTAAATGCTTGTTATTATCTAGCATTCAAAATGTGGATGTTATTACCACAACATTATTCAAGGCTCTTATAAACCTTGACGTTAATATTTTCGTGGATGATTTGTGCTCATAATTCTTATTCACATAATAATATTTATGACATACTTTCACATGTATAATGTCTTCAAACAATTGAACAGGAAGTTGCAATAGGTTTCGTAAGGTTAACATAGATTAGGTGTGGTGTGGTAGCACAATGGTCAAATCTTTCACTCGTAACGCAATACGCCCAGTATCGATTCTCCGTGAGTACAACGTGTTGAGCCATTTTTGTTATTCCCAGTGCTATTTCTGGATTATTGCTAGACGCCGCGTAAAACCATACTCACTGACTTGAAATTAGACGTTGAAATAAATTTAATATTATGTCGATTCTCTTCATACACCACGCTTATTTGATGTGTACACTAATGCGACTGAGTAAAATTAACCTTAGGTCTTTAACCTCCATTTCTGGTCGTAATAGGTGGACTGCATACATGCGGGCGTGAGCGGGCGGGCGGGCGTGGGCGGGCGTGGGCGGGCGGGCGTGACTGCTTGTTATCTAGCATTTAACTCAACTTCAATTCAACTTAGCGCGGTTAAATCTACAGGTAACCTAGCTCTACATTAAAAACACAGTATGTTTATCTCCAAATTATAATGAAACCTTCGATCAATCCTGACACGGGTAAGGGACATAACTCTGCTCAGTGAACGACGGACCACTTGGCTACCATTACCCATGTTTTTTTGTAAGTAAGACAGGTGAGGTGATGTGAAAACGGGTTTTAGATAGCGTTCATGATTAATGCACTTGTGTAGGGACGTGCCCCGGACCTTCCGCTCTCCGGGCGGACGCTCTACCACTAGACCACGGAGACGGTCTGTTTTATTGTGGACAATACATGGTGATATCTATCTTAGATTCACGGCAAGCTTAAGATATCTCAGGGCTACGATAGTTTCAAAAATCTAGGCCCTGTTAGTAGGGCAGGGAAAGATTATGGATAGCAAACACTTCACCTGTGCCGTGACTGACAAAGCCTTTAGCCAAACATAGTCTAATTCCATCTAGGCCTAATGGAACAGATTCAAAATGCCTGCAGTGCTGTGAGTGTTGCACGGGACTTTAACGTTGTTGGTCAAGGTTATGCGATGGTAGACCGACATTACGCCCAAGCAATAAATTTATCATATCAAAAAATATATATCTTCAAAATACAAAAAATAAAATCTAAATGGAGCCCAGAACAATGCTTAATTTCGGGAGTTAAGGCAATATAGGCTTGCCCAATCATATCTAGACTTGAGTTGAGTCCCTTTTTTAATTTGTTCTCTAGGGTCTTGGAGACAGACTAATGTAATAGGTATCACATTGGCTGCGGTGGATATGCACTGATTGCATGCAGAGGCCGTTTAACGGGATTCTGCTATTAAATATATGTAAGTATATACGTACATATGCACGAATTTATTCATCTATTCTTCTGTCTGTCTGTCTTCTATGTTCCTATATGCTTAGGGTTGTGTCTGTTTATTCAACAGCGTCCACGATGTCAGTAAAACTATTGTCTGTTTACATGTGTACGCCTTCTTTTGTCTGCTGTCTATTTGTTTATTTGTTGCCAAAATTGTCTGGTCGAGGCTCGATGATATACAGACCGTCGTCATATAGCTGGAATATTGCTGAGTGCGGCGTTAAACAAACAGAGTACAAAGTCTGCCTGTCCACTATTGTCCGTCTGTCTACTGTTGTCCGTCTGTCTACTATTGTCCGTCTGTCTACTATTGTCCGTCTGTCTACTATTGTCCGTCTGTCTACTGTTGTCCGTCTGCCTTTAAATCACTATATATCCATCTATCTACCCGTGACTGTCCAAACGTTTACCATTTTCTGTCTCACCTGTCTTTCGCCTTTTGTCTGTCCGCCCGTTTGTCCTCCTATCTACCATTGTCTGTCTAAGAGTGTCTGTCCCCTGCCTAATAGTGACTTTCCGTCTGTATTCTTTTGTCTATCCGTCTGTCAACCTATGTCGATATAGTTAATTTTACCTTTCTAAATAGTTTCGGGAATTTTTGCTTTCCCAGAAACAATACTTCAGAGAGCAAGAGGCAATTACCAGGGGCAACCATTCGTCTCCATTAATCAGAGATTTACCTTAAAGGCTGAAATCAATCACTTTCTGATAACATCTCAAAATTAAATCTGTAAGCAGAGCTCGTTAATGGTGGCCAGCGGGCCCTGTTTAGTCCCAAAACGAGGCTTATGTTATTGTATATAATAAATAGCTTCACTCGGTGTTCCACACATACGTCCTAAATATCTGTTCCGAATGAACAGGGAAGTAGCCCTTTGACTTTCAAACAAACAACCCAAGCAGCCTTAAGTATAACATTTGAGTTGTTTCAAGTTTCTTTATTTCGTACATGTTTAGGCCAACGGCCCATGGTACATACATTGGTCCACAGTATTAATTATTGACTCACGGTAGATAAAGGCATAATACAAATACATTGCGGTATTTCGAATTGTAGTTTGGTTACAGTCAGACATTAAAATATTAAATTTATCCAGGGTAGGATAGACATAAAACATTTCATGGATATATTGTTGTCTTAAATTATCATAGGCTTTGCAAATTAAAAAAAGTGGTATTCATTTTTCACATAACCAATATTACATAATTTACAAATCCTCAAGTTTCTAGGTAAATTGTTCTTCCCGTTTCAATATATAAGGAATGCGAACTGCAACGAAAACGAGCTATTGCCGATCTAAATTTATCAATAGGTACAGCAGATATGTATGGTTCAACAAAAAATGACATTTTAAATAATGAATAATGATATATTTTAGAGCTTCCGAAAATTGCTGAATGCCAATCCTGTTCATAAATACATTTTAGACGTGATACAAATTCAGTAATAAACAAGTTTGGGGAATCAACACCCTGATTTTAGCAAACATAACCAAACCCAAATTTATACAAGAGCAACTTGATTTTAGACACCAAATTACATTTACCATTAGAGGCTTCAAGAAACAACATATTGTTACTCTTTTTAGGGTAACGGGAATCGGGCATATTTTAAATCTTACACCAATATGAAATGCAGCGTTGATAAATTGAGATATATAAAGGATATCGTCCACATTCACCGGACAGTATGGTCTGATGTGGAAGCTTTAACACCTAAAAACTGCTTACAGGCTAACAAATGGACAGATTCAATTTCCTTGTAATTATCTACTCCCCAAATTGCCGATCCATATACTGTAAAGTACGGTTATAACGAACTACTAATTTTAGTTCGTTATAACCGTAGTTCGTTATAAGCATATATACAGCATAACTACAGCAAATAGTCGGGACCAAAAAAGTAAGTTCGTTATATCCGTCAGTTCGTTATAAGCGGGTTCGTTATAACCGTAGTTTACTGTAATAGAATCGGGGCCACTTTAGCATCACATATCCTAAAAAATACATTATGATCATAGGTTATCACATTCCTTAGTGATTTTAACACACAAAACAAAACTTTTTTAGCCTGTACCGATGCATTAGATACATGTTTAGTCCAATTTAAATTCTTAGTAAACGTAACACCTAAATATTTATAAGAAGATGGACATTCTATAGGACTATCTCCATAATACCATCTTTCATGTTTAGACAAAACGCCACCCTTTTTAAACACAACAATTTTTGTTTTATCAAGATTTACAGTTAATGAATACCTATTACAATATTCTTTGAGAAAATTAATACGTTTCTGTAAACCATAGACAGTATCAACAATAAGAGTGATGTCATCAGCAAACAACAAGAGAAACAACTGAAACAACCCTGGATGGAACTGAACAGCCTGACTCAATTTCTTTTGCTAAGTCATTTATGAATGAATTAAATAGAAAGGGACTGGGGACACATCCCTGACGGACACCACGCCTACATTCAAAACATTCTGATAAATGGTTATCATATTTAACACAAGAAAAAACACATTTATAGATAGACCGAATACTATTAAACATTTTAGGTGAAACTCCATTTTCATTTAGAACATTCCATAGTTTAGATCTGTTAATACTATCAAATGCTTTGGCGACGTCTACAAATAAAACATAGATCTTACCCCTTTTCTTACCCAAGTATCGTTGAACAACTGACTGGAGGATAAACATATTATCTGGTGTAGAGTAACCAGTGCGAAACCCTGCCTGTGATTCAACTAATTTATCATACGCCTCGGTCCAAAACCGTAATCTTGTATTTAGAATGGAAATGTAAGCTTTACTGAAAATACAGTAAAATACGGTTATAACGAACGCAAAGGGACTACTAATTTTAGTTCGTTATAACCGTAATTCGTTATAAGCATATATACAGCATTACTACAGCATACAGTCGGGACTAAAAAGTTAGTTCGTTATATCCGTTAGTTCGTTATAAGCGTGTTCGTTATAACCGTAGTTTACTGTACTCAAAATCGTTATGCCTCTATAGTTGGATGGCGTGTCCATATCGTCTTTCTTATGCAAGGGAACTATCACACCTTGAGACCAACTAGAAGGAAAGTAAGCTGAATCAAACATAACATGAAACAATAGAGTCATAAATGGTATCAGGATATCCTGGCACTTTTAAACATTTCATTACAGGAAGACTTACCCAATTTCAAACCAGCAATAGCGTCAATGATCTCTTGTTGTTGGATAGGGGCATCAAGAATAGTCTGAGACAATGAATCGAGATTATCAGCTGTAGTATTATCATCATCATCAACAACACTATCTAAAGAACTGAATATGTCCTTGAAGTAACTGAACCACTAATACTAATAGTATGTCTCGACACAACAGACCTGCTGGACAAACGCTTTAGTGATGACCAAATTTTTTTACTGTTATCAATTTTATCAATAATAATCCTGCGAATCTCCTCTTGATATGACAACCGTTTCTCCCGTATGACAGAGGTGTACAAATTTCTTGCTTTTATGTAATTATTCAAATTAAACTGGGTTTTACAATGTCTGAAAACCTTAAGTAAACGTAATCTCTCAGACCGATAATAACGGCGTACCTTATCAAACCAAGGTTGATTACAAGCAATATAGAATTTTGTTTGTTTCATACATTCTGAAGATTTACATAAAATAGTTGTTAACACGTCGACAGCATTATCAATTTCACCAGTGTACAGAAATTCAACACATTTCTCAAACATAGATGACGTGTCTGTAGATAGCAAATTGTCTCTAAAGATAGTTATCAGCGCCATAAGAAGGATATCACATCGGAGAATCTAGGCTGCCCTCGTATGCACACGGATAAGGCAAAGTCTCCAATCATTTATTTGAAAGTCAGGGGTCATGCCCAAAAGTATCCGTATTCCAAGTAGTACAAAAAAACGACGTTGAAATAAGAACGATCGTATGTTGTATTGATTACTACTAGAGGCAAGCTGTCGATGCCACATAAAAACTAAAAAAACACGTATTAACGTCCTTTGACAACTTGATATAGAAGGACGTGTTTTCGCCCCAGGCGAGTTGTGATCATTCCCATAGCAACCCGGGTAACGGTATGCATTTAATCAATCCACGGGGTTGGGGTGGGGTGGGAGGCTGTGACTTGTTGATCTCTGACCTACTTGAGAGATGAACTCAATAAGAAACCGTGATCGGGGGGGGGGGGGGGGGGGGGTGTACGAACAAAGACTAACTTATTAAGTTAGTGTTGTCGAATCACCCCTCCCCTTCTACAATTAATGTAGTCGAACTGACTGTGGACGCAATGAACTATACTCAAAAGAAGGCTCCACAACCATCCACACCCGGAGATCCAAGGATTATTTCCTCATATGTTACGTGTCACTCCGATGTCAGTGAGTAGTTGGACGTGTTTGTAATATTGATTTCCGGGCCTCTTTTTGAAGGTGAAATATGAGTTCGCTACTGCCGTTGACTCGTCATATAGAACATATATCCGAAGTCCATCATCCCTCCTCGAGAATGAGAATGTTTTTTTGTTTCGAGTCGACGGTTAAATATTTATTCCACTTCGTTATTTCCGAAGTTCATCCTTCCTCGGGATGCCTGAAGCATACCTCCATGTATAGTATATAGGCAAGTAGATGTGTTGAGGAACAGCCTTTGTGTGGCTTGTTGTTGCCATTAGACTAGGTTCAAGGTCAAAGGACTTTCCTCTAGATAGTCACCCTGGGAGTGCATATCTGTAATATGACCTAGGCTTTGTGTGAGGGAGATATGCATCAGTTAAATTGCAGGGAGGGTGTATTTATGAAGCAAAAGCAGCGTTCTTACCACGGTGGGGACAATACGAATTGACTTCCCACGATAGACTTGGGGGTAGCAAACAATAATATATATTTCATACCCAGGACACCTTATTTTCCGGGTGATGTGAAGTGAAATGG